AAAGTTTTACTTTGAATTTTGGAATAATTATGGAAATCTTGCACCAAAATTAGCACTTAGCTTAGCATTTAAGTGTTAATACAATATTTGGTTGAAAATAATCACAGAAAATGATCACAAAATGAGCAGTACTGGACTAAATCAAATAATATCAAACTTGTGGCAATTATTAATGCAATAAACATTTTTACACTATTATATTTATTCAGTGCACTGCGGCAAATTGTCTGCTTTTATTACTTGAAAAACAAATAATGAATCAACAAACAGTATTAATGGAAATAGCGCTATTCCCAACGTTCCCATTTATTATGATAATAAATATCATTATTATTATTATTATTATTTTCATTATTATTATTATCATTCCATTACTATTTCAACAGGATAATTTTAGCAGTTTTTTGATTAATCAATAAATCAAATATTAAAAGTACGTTTTGTGTTGTTTTTTTCATTGGCAATATTTTGTTCTTTGAGATCAGTTATTTCATTATGAGACTTTTGTTTATAAACATCCATTGAAATGCTTTATGGTGCTTTCTCATAATTCTGTATTTTTTTTGTTCATCATTTCTCATGACATATTATTTCATTCTGTGATTTACATTAAAGAGTAGTCAGAAGATAACAGAACTGATATATGGATGATATGGATGATGATTTTATGGATGATCAAGACTATGGCTTGGTACCTTTTCTCATCTATTTTATTTTTGTTTTTAAGTTTTGCTTGCATGATATTCGAGCGATATTGTGTTGCTGTCCTTAAATTTACTTTTGTCCGTTTCAGGAATATTCAGATGATTCAGTTAGTGAACCTGACGTTGACTTAGAAAATCAGTATTACAATGCAAAAGCTCTAAAGGCAGAGAAAGACACTGATGGTGCTCTGAAGGCTTTCGAAAATGTTTTGGAGTTAGAAAATGAAAAGGGAGAATGGGGATTCAAAGCACTCAAACAAATGGTCAAAATCACGTTTACAGCGGTATGTATAACTAGCACTTCTCTCCTGATACTGCATTAAATTCAGAGCAAACAAATAAAGACAAAGTAAGGAAGATGATAAAGCTTACATTTTTGGTCTCAAAGTGCAAAGAACGCATTAGAATTATGATTGAATTTATGTGACTGAAATTTAGATGGAAGAATAAGTGTAACGGTTTCTTATTGACTGCATCATTTTGTTGTTCTTGAAAGCACAAGGAATTTGTTGAAATTCTATTATAATTTACTGTAATAATTTTGATATTGTCTACAAAATGCATTTCAGAATCGTTATGATGAAATGCTGGCTTATTACCGAAAGTTATTAACTTACATTAAATCTGCTGTTACAAAAAATTATTCAGAAAAGTCGATAAATTCAATTTTGGATTACATTTCGACATCAAAACAAATGGGTTTATTGCAGATATTTTACGAAACAACCTTGGAAACATTAAAAGTTCACTATTCTGTTTTTATTACTAAAAAAAAAAAAAGTATTCAGCATTCTTTGCGTGAGCAGTTAGATTAGTGAAAGGATTATAGAGGATGCGAGTCCTTGATATACGTATGTTTTTCTCTTATTCATTTTATCTTTCATCTCTTTATTTCTAGGATGCTAAGAATGAACGGCTGTGGTTCAAAACAAATGCCAAACTTGGAAAGCTTTATTTTGACCAAAAAGAGTTCGGAAAATTAGAGAAAATCATCAAGCAATTGCGGATTTCATGTAAAGTCTGTGATTTTCAGTTTGGTTACGTTTTTATTTCGATTTTGTTTGGCTATGATTATTAATGTAACTATGTCGATATATAAAAGTAATGCTAACCATTCGTTGTCAAATACTTTATGATCAATTTACACCCATTTTAGAACGAGCTCGGTGAAGAAGATCAGAAGAAAGGTACTCAGTTGCTTGAAATTTACGCTCTGGAAATTCAAATGTATACCGAACAAAAGAATAATAAGGCATTAAAGGATCTGTATGAGCAAAGTTTATGTGTTAAAAGTGCTATACCACATCCTCTAATTATGGGTGTTATTCGTGGTTAATTTTTAGTATCTCTAATTTATTATTTTTTATAGGTTCATTAATTACAAACAGAAATAATTTTTTATTTAATTATATATCGTACAAGCAAAAGGATTTTTAATTTTCATGGTTTTTAGAATGTGGTGGTAAAATGCATTTACGAGAAAAGCAGTTCGATAAAGCTCATACTGATTTCTTCGAGGCTTTCAAAAATTATGACGAAAGTGGGTCAGAAAGGAGAATTGCTTGTTTGAAATATTTGGTTTTGGCGAATATGCTTATAAAGCAAGTTAACTTGACTTTTTTCATTTGTTTCGAGTGTTAAATATCATTTCAAAACGGTTGTGTTGATGAGATTTGCTTGTTTTATTTTCTTCCATAATCATACCTTTATTTTCTGTAAGTTTTTCTCTTTGTTAATGTTTTTGGTGTAGAATCCATTTCATTTTAGATATTACTGTTTCTCTGGGATTGACAAGTTCACAACGTAATAACTTCATATTCGTAATATACAAATATATATGAACGCTTTTCAGATCAGGAATCAATCCATTTGATAGTCAAGAAGCAAAGCCATTTCGAAACGATCCGGAAATAATTGCGATGAATCAACTTGTGGGAGCTTATCAAGACAATAACTTAGTAGAATTCGAAAGTATTCTAGAAAAAAATCGGGATGCTATCATGGCTGATCCTTTTATTCGTGAGCATATTGAAGAACTACTCACTAATATCCGTTCTCAGGTTTCATTTTTAAATTTGTGCAAGATTTCATCATTGATATAAGTTAAAGCTATCTTCAATTTTAAGGTACTGAAAAATCTATGTGTGCCCTATTCTCGTATATATTTGTCATTTCTCGCAAAGGAACTTCGAATAAATGAAAAAGATGTAGCCAAACTTCTTGTGGAATTAATTCTTGATGGTGTATTGAATGCCAAAATTGATGAAATCAGGGGTGTTCTGATTTCTGAACCAGTTAAGAAAGTAACAAGGTATTTATTGTTGTTTTCTCTGAAATTAGAAGGAATGATGTTGTCTGTGGTATGGAATCAAACTTCGTTCGTTTTCAACATAAGTTTAAAATTAATTAAAGATTAAGATTCGAAGGATGCAAAAAAGTTGAGAGTTCATGTTTCTAGATGTGTATATATGTTGAAGTTTATTTTGTCTAGAAAAGTATTATTTTTTTCATCTATATCTGGAACATTTTCATTGAAAACTTTAGATAAGATTGTGACAGTTAATTTCCATCTATTTCCAGATGCGCAGCAATTGACAAGTGCGTGAAACAAATTTCCGCGCTCCAGATTTCTATGACTAACAAATGTTTATAAATTTGATCTCAAGAAATTCAGTCTGCCTTAATTGGATTTTTCTATTTTTTATGCTTCAAAGAAAGAAGTCTGTGCTAATTATCGATAATCGCAATTTTCTTTCATAACATATTTGTTCTCTTATTTTATTTACTGTATTTTATCCTTATTGCTAAGCTGGTGGTGATCAAGATTTTATATGGAAGTTAGAGAGCTTAGTTTTTTTGTTTTTCCAAAAATGAGAGGTCACTTTTATTTACTGTTTCCAATAAGGCTCTTATTTTCAGATCTCTCCTTTAATTAAGTGAACAATGGGAACTGATTGTCGTTTTTCTATAAATGTTTAAAGAGTCTGCGCATTTTCTATCTTACTGGAAGGAAAAATTTTCACTTTTATAGTTCACAGTCAATATATTACTTTTTTTGTGATTAAATCATCAAGGCATGTCAAATATTGTGCAGTTTGTTTCAATAAACATTTTGTTTTTAACTATCTCCTCATTCAAACACGGTATCATTCCTTAGCTGTCTAGATATTCTTGATATTAATTTAGACTTTTGTAGTTGAATGTTAATTCCGAATTGCAGTTATATGTTTTTATGGTCTTTTAGTCATGATGTTGCATGCATCCAATTTTCTTTATAATCTAAAAAGAGTGATATTACTGATAGGATAGATTTGTTCAAATGCAAAACAAAGACCAACTGAGTAAAACAATAATACTTGAGGTTTGGAGCATTTCGAAGTTTTGGAAGCAATGGATCCCAGATCAGAAACTTTTCAGGCAGACACAGGGTCCAAAAGAATAACTGCAGCTGAACGAAGAAAGAAGGTGATGATGCTTGTCCTGAACATTTTTTACTGAGGTTTTATCAAAAACAGTATCTTAAATCTCGCATTAGTCGTGGGTCAGTTCCAAAATTATGGTGTTTCCGGCTTTACAAGATTATTATGTTGAGTATATTGGAAGATTTGACCCTTATTAGTTTCTCTCATCTTCGGGACTTATTCTAAGCTGACGGAAATTCTGAAGTCTATAAGAATGTTGAGCGCATCAAATTTCATCTTTCGTAAAGTAATATAGTGGCTGCAGGTCTTCTTAGGTGAGTTACCTGATGACTTCTTACGCATTGCTGCTCCATCGCATCTTTTATCTGGAAATCATCCGCAATCTGCTGCTCCTGCGCATGCTGTAGACCCAAGCTCTATCGCACACCACAACTTCATACAATCACAGGTCTTTACTGTTTGATGAACATTAAAAGAGAGTATCTTTTCAACCACGGTTTAACAAAAATATTGCTGATATTTACATCTTCATTGAGTCATAACCATTTTCTGTATGTTTTCAGCATGCGTTCTACAGTTTTGTGCCGCCAAATACACGCGGACGTTTATCAATAACACTTGTAGAAGCAAAACTAGTAAAAAATTATAGTCTGGTGCGAATGGATCCATATTGTCGAATACACATTGGGAATTATGTTTTGGAGACATCGACAGATGCTAGTGGGGGCAAGACACCGAAATGGAATCGTATTATCAACACTTATTTGCCTCATGGTGTTGAATCGTTTTATCTTCAAATTTTTGATGAAGTAGACATTTTTGATTTTGTAGTGTCTGTTTTGTGCATCTAACTTTGTCGTGTATCAGTGAACTTATCTTGTGTCACCCTTATACAGTTATTGTTCTTTTACTAGTCAATACAGTTTTAGAAAGCTTTTACTGTTGACGAATGCATCGCTTGGTCACATATTGTTCTTCCAAATGGAATTTTCAATGGTGAGATAATCGATGATTGGTATCAGCTTTCTGGACAGCAGGTGATTTTCGAAGTTCTGCCACTTACATTGCTTTTATCAATGTTTAATGCAATGAAATTTTTTTTTCGTAATGGAGGAGTAAGAAAAGTATATTAGACGATTTTAATAGTTCACGCATGTAACATTTTTTGAGAATTTTGATTATATGAAAGAACTGGTATTTTTCTAAATAAATTATCGGAACAGTTTTTCATGAATAATTCTTGCCGAACTAATTTTCTACCTTCACTTATGATAGATATGAAATAAATAAGAATTTACCATTATAATTTAGCCCAAATGTTTAGGGTGAAGGAAAAGAAGGTATTATAAACATAATAATTTCTTTTACACCGATCAATAAGCCCGAAACTCCAAGTAATATGACCAGTAAAGCTCAGTATCAAGGTGGTACGTTCTGTTATACAGTAAACTACTTTGTCGTGCATTTAATCACATTGTGAGTACGGAATTGATTATAGGCTGCTCAAGAATCATTTTGTATCAAGTTTTTACATTGTTTTAAATGAGTAGCTTCTATATGCATGGAATTTTTCATTGCTGGTCAGAAAACGATTAGTAACTGTAAATTAAAATATGTAAATCGTTTGTGAATCAGATTTGAAATTTCTTTAGATAAGATACAAAAAAAACAACAGCAACAGCAAGGAGAAGTGCTTTATACAGAAGAGGATTCGAAGGAACTACATGCTATGTTCCCATCAGTTGAAATTGATGTTATCAAGTGTATTCTTGAAGAAAAGCGAGGAAACAAAAATGCTGCCGTTTCTGCAATACTTGAAATTACAGCTCAGCAGTAACCAAGAAGGCTGCATGAAAATATCGTGGTAAAGGAGTAAGACGTAGGACGCTTCTAACGGCAGTAAATAATATCATATATGCTTTGGAATTCCAAAATTATCTTGTGTTGTTTAACAGTCGATTATCAACTCCGAACATAATTATATTTAATTAACGGACTTTCACACTAGATAAAATACTACTTCATGAGGAAATTTGCCAGAGTTTTTTTGCTATTTCCTAATTAAGTAATGAAAGGTAAGAAATCATCCCTGAAATGAAGTTGAACAAAGATGCTTAAAACACTTCGATTTTATATTTCGAAAAGAATAGAGCTTATTGGTACTTTTGTGCATATGACGATTCAGACGTTCCCACACATGTTTTGACGAGTTTTCAATTCATTTATCATTATGACTTCAATTTTGTAATAGTTATTTAGTGTCAATAAGAATTTCATGGCTTGTATATTAGTGATTGAAGCATTGTTTTGAATACTTTCAACTTTTTAGTCCGCAGTGTGATATATCATGTGACCATTACACCGCGTTTAATGTAACATATGCATTTATATACTTCAATTATATATATTAAATTTCGGTAAATATATAAGTATTACTTTAAGTGGAAAACAAAAAATTATTTTCTTCTTTTGTTAACCAGCTTCAGAACAGAGTAGCTGTTTCTCAGTGAAGATTATGGTCATTGTAAGATCTACATCTTCGTCTGGGCAGAGATCACACTCACAAACTAGTATCGCGAGCATAAACGAACACATTTCATTCGATTAGGGGAAATGATGTTATTTAGAGATTCATTACTTATCTCGGATTTGAATTTTGAGAAGCAAGTTATTGATGCACAGGGCAGAGTTTGCCTTGTAGAATGCATCTTTACTTGGTGATACCACTCTTAGTTAGTTCTGAAATGTAGCGTATGTATCCCCCATATCTCAAAATGGCTCTGTAACATTGGTTAAAAGCTCTCAAATCCTCAATCGAACGAACTATGATACTACTCACCAAATTCTTAATATGAACCGCTACGTAGTTTTGGCTGAGGGTTCAATTTGCTAAAATTCACTCATTTTCATCCTGCACAAGAAAAATTGGCAACAAAATTGTATTGTCTTCATCTGATTGACATAAGATGTCGTCTAGATGTTAGCGCATACCACATTAATTTCTGCAATCATGAGAAGTCTTCAATTTTTTATGCAAGTAACCGTTAGTGAATTAGGAACACGTAGTCATAATATAATTTTTCGAGCCTAAAATCACTAGTTAGAAACCAAAATTATTTGGTTAATATTTTAATTAACTCAAATTTCATTATTTTGTATTCATAGTATAAGTAAGAGTTATCAGTTTACTCGCACCAATTTCAAACTGTAGACATCATCTTGAAGTAGTTATTCTTTGTTACATTTGCATTGATTGCTTTAGATACGCTCTGATTATGCGATATTTGTAGGTAAAATAACACGTTCCTAGCATTAATAATTTGGTGAAAAAAGAAATAATCATAGTTTGGTTTTGGTGTTCTGGTGGATTTGTTCATATGATGCAATGGCATGTCTTCAGAAGCTGCGAGAAGATGTCGCAGCACTGGAGTCTTTATTTCCTAGGGAACACGAGCGTTTTCAGGTTCGTAACTAAAATTAAGAAAACTAAAGAAGATATATTTAGTGTGTTAAAGACTTAAATTTACTCTTTCAGGTGTTATCAGCATCTGTCGACGAATTAACTTTACAATTTATTAGTCCCCAAAATAATCCAATTATCGTCACCGCTAACATACTAGTCAGTTTTTTATTTAAAAATTACCCAGAATAAATATTATCATTACAAGAGTTCTATGTATATTGTCGCTGCTAGAATATTAATTTTATTGTAAATGCATTCTCTTAATTTTAAAGATAATGCTTAAATTTTATCTATAACAATTTATCAAAATGAAGTATTTGATAAGATTTTAGGAGAATTATCCAAATGTGGCACCAATTTGGTTTAGTGAATCAGATGATTCTACTGTTACAGCAATTTTGCAGTCGTTAACTGAAGCCGAAGGTCCGTGTTACATTTTGCCACAAACACATGAATTGGTTGTACGTCTCTGCTCATATTTCGATATTAACATACCCACTGAACTAGTTTCTATCGGACCCGTAAGTTTGTGACATGGATTTTTTTTTCTGCAAAATTAGGTATAATGTTGTATACAAATGTGGATTTGAGAATGGAATACCAAGCACCATGTAAAAAAAATATTTGATCCGCAAAAGAGATGAATTTACGGTAAATATAAAGACATTTCTAGAATTTGTCTTTGCTACACTACATGCAAGTTTTTGTCTCCAAGCGGCTTATCAGTGTATTCGAAATTATTTATTTATTTCTTCCTTATTTAATAGCATTTGTAAATACTGAAGGAAAAATTCCAGCCTAGAGATGAGAGAGATGAAGGAATGGTAAGTGATGACGATTATATAGAAATGGAAGAAGAAACAACATCACGTAAAGAAGTGGAAGAAGACGAAGTACTTATCATTCGTTGTTCTATATAGAAAAAAGTTTTCCAGTTCTAACAAATTTTTGATGTTACATAGTAGCATTTCAGTTCTTCTTTTAAGTGTGTTCATATGATTCGTCATTTGTATCAATGCAGGGTTTATCAGAAGAACAAAAAGCAGTATTTGCAAGACTCAGCCATGTTCAACGTCAACAATATTTAACGGGTGTGGCTGCTGGTTCTGTCATGGCTACTGATAGGTTGATGAAGGAGTTAAAAGATATCTTTCGTTCGGATCACTTCAAAAATGGTATTCGTATTTATTTTGCCAGACTTTCCTTTTAATTTACAGTTTAAAACAATTCGATAATAATTAAATATATTTCAGGTATTTATTCGGTAGAGCTTTTGAAAGATAGTTTGTATGAATGGCATGTAAAATTGAGGAAGTAAGTCATATTTACATAATTTATTGAGTCTATTTTTTTCTACACACTGTTCGTTTTCTCAAATGAAGTGATTGTTTTTAAAGAGTCGATCCTGATAGCTGTTTGGCCCATGACATGAAGGTTATGTTAAGGAAAGAATCGCAAGACCATTTACTGTTCCACTTCGTTTTCAAAGATACATTTCCGTTGGTTTATCATTCTTGCTAGTTCATCGAAATAGGTTTTTTTCTTCGATAAATCTCACCTTGATTCAGTTACATATGTAACATCTTTATGATTTTTTTCTTTTTCCGGTTTTTGAATGCAGTTCTGAACAGAGTAAAATTCATGCTGTTGAGCTTTGAAAAATAGTGAACGATATGCCTAGTGTTCCTTGATTAATTAACTGAAGAATATGTTTTGTTTCAGTTTCGAGCCTCCATTTGTTCGTTTAGTTTCACCAACAATTACAAATGGTTTCGTTTTGGGAGGTGGTGCTATTTGTATGGAACTACTTACAAAACAAGGATGGTCCAGTGCTTATAGTATTGAGTCGTTAATTTTGCAAATTGCTGCCACTTTAGTTAAAGGAAAGGTTGATATTTTAATTATTTATGTGTTTTTTGACTATGCATGATATAAGTGAATCACTTGAACATTTGCAATACTTTTTTCAAATTAACTCTAGTTGAATTCGTTTTGGTAGAGTACAGTTACTTTTCTGGTTTTTCTGTGTCGTTTATTTCAATGAAAAATGTCTTATAAGTTCTTTATATCAATGTATTTAGTTGTTTTCAGGCACGCATAAATTTTGCTGTTAAAGGACAATATTCCTTAACACGAGCGCAGCAAGCATTTACATCACTTGTACAGATCCATGCAAAATCTGGGTGGTTCACACCACCTAAGGCCGATGGCTAATGGAACGCACAGTTAGAAAAGATTTAGTTGTAAAACTGATAGACACACATTTATATTGATTTCAATCTCGATCCATCTTTCATTGACTTATTATTTCATTTACTGCAGTTAATTCATTCATTCCTTAGTTTCTTCGTAGTTCTTATTTCGATTTCGTCTATCTTGCCCTGTAAAGTCTTTGAGTGCTTTTCAAAAGCATTTTACTTTACTTTCAAAAATTCTTTTTTTCTGTTTCTTAAAAAATACATGTATATTACTGGTTATTAACTTTGAAGGTAGCAGTTGAAAGACGAAATCCATAAGTTTGAGGAAAATAGAGGATATTTGTTGGATACCAATTTAACCTTATAACCTCATTTAGCTTCTTTTAGACGCACATAAATGCTTAATAACTAGAAGTGAGAGTTTCACTTAGTACATCAGTACTGTTTAATACGTTCACGACCATGGGATCTGTTCATTTTTGGTAGCGTTACAAAAAGAATTTATATTGCTTTAAAGTATTGTTTAATGATGTAGATATGACCTTTATTTTTGTGTATTGTGATATATTTTTTTGCATATTTATTTGTTTCTGCGATGGAAATCATGTCATCGGTTTTTTATTGACAAAATAGGATAAGTTATTTGAGGTTTTCTAAGTGTAAGAACAGCATTAAAATATGCCAAAAAATTGTAACAGCTCAAAATTTGCGGCATTATGCTTATGGTAAAATTGTTATATTAGGTTTTTTCTTGCTTGGATCGCATTAGAGATGAACGATCTTTCTAAAAAATAATTTTGAAGGTTTAGTTAAAAATTCTTTCTTTATTTATTTTTTTCAGTTAATATCCATTCACGCTATGAATAAAAGTCTAACGAGACATTGTCCAATTTTAGCTCATTTGTAGTCTATAAGACATCAGATAGCATATTTCCTAACTTTGAAAGTAGTATTACTTTAATTTCAATTAAAATAAGATGAAATCATTTATGGTCTCACGTCAAATATAGTTTCAAATATTGCTTACAATATTTATTTGTGGAATTGAATAGTAAAAGAACAATACGTCTCGAAATGTTCCGATAACTTTTTTAGGATGAGATTCTTAAGATGCCAGCGTGCATAAGTTTTCGTATTTGCTATCAGATTTGTAACTTTCCTGTGACGTGTTGTTTAGGGAATTTGTATTTTCTTGCGTGCCAATAATGACAGTTTAATGAATGTGCGGGAATTTTCAGTATTGTGATAGGTCAAATGTATTCCATTGTAATAGATCAGTTGTATTTCAGAAATGTTTTGTTGATAGCTGTTACTGAGCACTACTCGATGTTTTGGTTGATTATACTCATTACTTGGTCTATATTTTTATGGGATTTTTACCTTTGTTTGCGACAGGTAAGTGCATTTAAAAACTTTTCGAAATTCTGTACTTGGAAGTTCGATAAATTATAGATGTTTCTAATATTTTCTCCGCCACATTTGCTTAAAGTTGCAAATTTTAATATTTTCTATTGAAAAACATACATTATTTAGTAAGATTGCTGCTACGTGATTTATTCATATTTCAAAAATTTCTTGCAGTATCGTGTGCACCGTGATGCAGTAAAAAGACCAGATGCAGTGAGCGAAATAATTGGTGAAGAAGAATATCATAAGGCACGGATTTACAGACTTGACAAACACCGTTTCTCGTTTGTGCATTCCATATATTCACAACTTGAGTTGATGGTATGTTGAAATTCTCGTAATTATTTTCTAAATCCAAAATGCAGTTGAAGTAATTGCTGAAAATAATGATTCGTTTTAATGTTGTTTTAAAATGCTCACTGTTTCTAGGTGATTTTATTGCTTTGCATACCTCATATTTTATGGCTTAAAAGTGGCGTCATCAATGAAAAACTTGGATTCTCAAACGAAGTAAATCCTATTAAGTATTGCCATGTATCACATTTTTTTGAAAGAAAATGCAATAAAACAATATTCCTTATCTAATTGACACTTAAAAGTTATTTTTGTCATAAAAATCTCTATCAGGGCTAGAAGTTTGATCTTATTTATTGCATTGAATCTACCAAAGTTAGAGCTTTTTTTAGATTGCCCAATCAATAACTTTTATTTCACTGGTATCAGTTATCGAAAGTATAGCATCCCTACCATGGCAATTGTATGACACATTCGTCATCGAAGAGAAGCATGGTTTTAATAAACAGGTCATTCCGTCATTCCATTTTTGAAAAAATGTGTCAACAAAGAATATATTTCTACATGTTCAACTGGGATAAAAATTAGTTGCTTAAGTTTGTGATTTCTGTGTTCCTTTCGATCAATTCTCGGGTATAAAACGTTACAGACACTGGGCTTCTTTTTAAAAGATAAAGCAAAGAAAACATTGATATCTTTATTTATCATGGCACCGATAGTAGCTGCAGTTGTGTACATTGTGGAACAAGGTGGACCATATTTCTTCTTCTATGTTTGGATCTTCCTCTCAGTTGTTATTTTCGTAAGTTTCTTTCGTGGAACATTCGTATACAAAGTTCGAATGTTTTTTCCACTTTTGTAGAACTTTCGTATAACAATAGCATTTCAGTTGTTGATGACTGTTTATCCCGAATTCATTGCTCCACTCTTTGACAAGTACGTTCCACTCCCAGAAGGCGAATTAAAACAGAAGATCGAAAAATTAGCTGAAAGTGTGAACTTTCCACTGAAAAAATTACTTGTTGTTCATGGTATAGTTTCCCCAACTAAATTTAATGCTGTCAAACGTATAATATATCGCTCACTTCTTGGTTTAATTTTTATGGCATGATATAGTTTTTTATGAGTATCAAATTTAGGGTCTAAACGATCAGCGCACAGTAATGCTTATATGTATGGATTTTGGAATAATAAGCGTATCGTGTTGTATGACACGTTATTAAGTGAAGAAATCAATGCACAATTAAAAGATAAAGATGGGGTTAGTTCCTGATTATTTATTTATTTTATTAATACTGGCTTTTTCACGTATGTTTGTGCTTGAAAATTCTGTACATTCATTAGGGAGCCGATAAGGGAGATAATGACCAAGATGTTGATGTAAAGAAACAAAAAGTTGGAATGCGAGATAATGAAGTTGTAGCCGTTCTGGGTCACGAACTTGGACATTGGGCTTTATGGCACACAATCATAAACTTAGTTTTAACTGAGGTAATTTTTTCACTTGTACTATATGTTTTAGTAATGTAAGACACAATTAGCTTACGAAACTGCATAGATAAAACATGTGACTTTGTATTTAGATCAATTTGTTGTTGCTGCTTGCGGTATTTGCAAAATTTTATCGTCACACCTCGCTTTTTCATGCATTTGGCTTTGAGAAGTCGAAACCAGCAATCATCGGATTCATGATTGTTTTCCAGTATATTACTGCTCCATACAATGAATTTATTTCTTTCCTTATGACGGTTTGTTTTTCAAAAGCAAAAATTCCGAAAAGTTGGGAGCATCACAGTTCCTACCTCTATCACTCGCACGTCGAAATTGTTTTTGCATGAATTTGCAGACCAAATTTTACCTGTTCAAATTAATTACAAGACTGTTTATAATATAGTTCCGTTTCACAGGTAATGTCACGACGTTTGGAGTTTGCAGCAGATAGTTATTCAGAAAAGCTTGGTTTTGGTGATGACCTGCGCAGTGCACTCATCAAACTCGGCAGGGATAATCTGGCAATGCCAGTAGACGACCCCATCTATTCTATGTTCATTCATTCACATCCACCAATACCTGAGCGGATTGCTGCATTAAAGAAATCCATGTGACCCACTGTTATTTGACTCTCCAAGACGTCGAAGTTTATTTCCCGAAAGTCCCACTAAACATTGTGTTCCGGCTCTGCAATTTTGTATTCGTTCACTTTGTTGTTGAATAAAAGTGTAGTAGATTACTATACTACACAGCCTCGAGAAATTTCGTTTCTCTCTTATTTATCTCAATTCAAAAGTATCATCTCCACATTACTCGTGATGGTACCTCTCAGTCGAGCCTTTGTACTATCTGCCCAAACTCGGGATATCCGTGTTCTTTACAAGCAGCATGCATTTGACTGGCACGATATTTCCGACTCAGAATACGGTTATCACTTGGTCCGAAGTGAGGATTATTTTATGAGAAACTCTGCAGTTAAATGTAACACTTCCGCACACTTCTGTCAGAACTTCTTAGTCATGAGATGGGATGGAGATCTTTCAAGTAAGTTCTCATAAACTTTCATTAAATAACATGGAACCAAATTGGTATTAAGCGAGATTAATTACTGCCATGCTTTGTTACTCCATTCCACACTACATGTTGATCGATGTAGGGAGTATTCCATTTGAGAACATATGCATAAATTAACAAATAGAAAGGTTACGACATCCAACCACCATGGTACGATCATAACAAGAGAAAAGTCAGTCTTAATTTGATCCGCAGAATAATACACACCAATTTTTATAAGTAAACAACAACGAATCAACACTGGCAAAGGAAACAGGAACGATGACCAACAGCAGCATGAGATAGAAGATTCAGTCCGAATCCGCAAATACCGTTTTTGTTGCTTTTTTCAGCACTTCTTCTGCCGAGACCTCCGTCTTCAACTTTTTCTTGGGTGTCTCGTCTATGCTTTCGTCAACTGGTCTCTAAAAATAATCACACAACAATAAGTGCAAGTTATTCATATGCAGTCTTAAAATTCCCACACCACTTATGCTTCAAAACACTTTTTATCCCGAATTAGCAAGACAAAATTTAGAGTTTTATACGACAAAAGCTCTTACCTTTTCACCTTTCTTGTTATCATCACACTGCTCACCACGCCCTCGACCACGATTTTTTCTTCCTCTGCCTTCACGCCTATTCTTTACTATTCGTGCTTGTTTATCAGCCTTTTTTTTGCTGAAATTGTTCCAATATTCTTCTTCTTCTTCACCATCAAGTACTCTTCCTTCCAACTCATTTCCATCAAAAATCACTTTTCCATCTTCCCCTTTCTCTATAGCTGCTTTCCATGCAATATCTGCACCATTTTCTTCCCCGCGAAAACGAATTTGAGCCTGGAAACAAAAAGCATGACCTCGAAAACTTCAAGCCATGATAAATTCAGTAAACATATTTTATTGATTGTGGATAATGTAACAAACGAATTTGAAAAACTAACTTTTTCATCACCCTTCTCATACACAACATACTGCACATCACCAAACTGCTTGAAAAATTCTTTAATTTTCGATAGATCGCAATCGTTCTTTGGAATATTTTCCACTGACAACACTAATCCTTTGACAAAATGAACTATATCTCGGTTTTTCCTCTTCGACTCCTCTTCCATAGCTTTCTAAAAAAAATAAATCACAAATATGCAAGCACATTGAAAAGAAATATGAGATGCATATACACTAAAAATTATCGAAACCTTTTTAGCTTGCTTAAGGGCGCGGGCAGCAAGTCGTTTTTCCTTCATTTCTTTTTGTTTGTTCGCCCAATAATCATTTCTGTAAGAGTGAAGCAGAAGAAAATGTATTGAGTATCAGAAAAAATAATAACAAATGAATTACAATAAAGCTGAACAACTTTTTTATTTTGAATCATTTCAGAAACAAATTTCCTAGCCTTACACCACATATAAAAGACAAAAATTTAGTAACTGAAAACCGTCTAACAAAGCAAACATATCAGCAGACTATGTGTCAAGAAACTAAAACACAAATCTTACTGCATCATTTTTATGAGATCGTTTCCTTCATGCTGTTTCGTGTCGTTATTGACAAAATCTTCAGCTATTTTTTCATGTCTGTAAGTGACGAACACGGAACCTTTGAATCTTCGTTGTTCAGATCTCTCACGACGCATTAAAACATTTTCGACAGGGCCAAATTTTTTAACAAAAGTTAAAATTTCATCCAGTTTAGCATCTTGACTAAAACCTTTCTGAAAAAAACCACAAAATTTACCACTGAACAGGAACAATGAAAAGTTAAGTAATATCATCAGACTTTCCGCATGCCTTACGACCGCTTAGTATCAATCTTCTCCGACAGCTTGAAAAAATATAAAAAAGTGGAATATTTCTGACAACTTCTGGCTTCCGTAAAGGACAATATAACTTACGATGTACACTGTACGTTTTTTCACAGTTTGCCAATGCTCCAGTGTATTTTGTGGTACTGCAGCTTCCGGATCACGTCGTATTTTAGTGAGATCTTCCGAAACCTCCATCAATTTAGAATGCTTCAATGCTCCAGCGATTTGATTGGGATCGGTAGATAATTGCGCCAAACGTTTGAATTTTAACATTGTCGTCAGTGGCACCCCTTTATTGCGAAACAAACATGAATTCAAATTTTATGTAATTAACTGTTGATAATTAAAATTTTTTATTTTCCTCCTTAATATATAATGAATACTCTCTAAAAAAAGTTGAATAATGATAATTTCGTCCAAATGAAAAAAAAATGCTGTTTAAAAAACTATAATGACAACTGAAATAAAACAACTTACATCCATCTTCTTTTTTACGTTCTTCTTGTAAAAATCGATCTCTGGGCAAGTTCATGTCACCAAAATAATACTGAAACAAAGTAAAGATACTAAACTAGACTTATTTACCAGTGTATAAAGAAAGCAGAAACTTTTCGAGAACCATAACGTTTAAATACGCATTGCCATACACAGAAATCATTTAACGAAAGTTCTTTAAAGAAGGCTAATGAACAAGAAAGTTATATTACCTCAACTTGTTCAATTATTTTTTGCTCAATTTCGGATAGCTGACAGGCATTATTTGACAAATGCTTAACATTTTGTGCATCCTCAGAAGTATCACCATTGGCTTCCTTTGGACCATTATCGCTTTCACTATTTAAAACCAAACTTTTCTTGTCTCCCACTACTAGTGTCTGTTCCGTTTCTGTAGTCATAACTGAGATCCTAAAAAGAATACGTTATAAGAAACTGGCAATAAGCTTATATCTAAGACAACCCTGCAGTATGAAATTAAAGTTAGAAAACCACATTTAATGATATCATATGCAAAAATACACTATTTTTACACAATTCATTAACTGATAAATCATTTAATAGATAAATCATTTTATTAATAATGCATTATTTACAGTTGCAATTTTTATTTCCAATGTTCAAAGCAGTTTTATTTCTCAAATTTTTCATTTTATAATTTATTACAACATGACTAGTATTGACTACCAATCAAGATGCAAAATTTGGATTTGAAACTATAACCAACAAAATAGAAATCATAATTGAAATACAGCTGAAAATGACGTGATATAACAATAAATTACAAGAAATTATAAAATTCAATGGAGTGACAAGCACAAAAAAACACTCTAATTAATCACAAAAGAACCAAAATACTTGACATCGATACAGTCCTTCAAATTCGATACCAACAAAAGGCAATTATGTGTCATAATGCGTTTGAACAATTTTTCAAGGCTACTATGCATGTATCAAAAAAAATGCATACATCATAGCACAATTTTAACACACAAAATTTTGAAATAATAAGTTATATCGGCATCACAAGATTGAACCCACATCATAAGATTGAAAATAAGAAAATCACTGCATAACCTTTACTCGAACTACCAATATAATAACAAAAAACATACGCACAGATCGAAGACGTAAACGAGCGAATAAAGCAAATTGATCAGTGCGCAAAATTTACTCGACGAAAGAAGTGGTCTTGGAACTTAAAAAATTAATTGCAGCTCAATACTGTTTTAAAAAGAGTTAAATATATTTATGGAGGAAAGATTCTATGGCAAAAAAATTTTATCAGTCATGAATTAAAGTGGTTTGTTGGTGCTACAATTGCTAACTCAAGACTAAAGTTATCAACTTTCCTCATCTATCAGTTTACGAGTAAAAATTACTGAAATAATTTATGTAAAATTA